AGAAGTTGATTTTATTGGGTTGATCTTGTGTAAGTTTTTACGTTATTTCATTTATTATGTCTTTAATACACATGTAAGAGTGTCACCAATTGGTTTTTAAGGCTGTTGTTGAATGCGAATAATACTTACGAAGTTTTTTGCGGCAAAAAATTGCCTGATTACGACTCAATAATATCAACAGCCAACAGTCTACCGCCTCTGAAACTTCCCACTTCCGTAGATGACAAGGAGGACAACGAGGAAGACGATGAAATTCCAGATTTGGACCGCCTGACTGTGGTAGCAGAACCCGAAAGAGACTGTGGTTCAAGCCTTGTTGCGAATAGTCCAGGAGCTGTCGACTTGCAATGGGACCGTAACATGATAGAAATGGTGGAAAATCGCACTGCTACCATTTCCAATTCTCTGCTTAATCAGCTAAAAATGCTCGATCATGATTTTTATTTGCCTTCGTTGTTAGATGTATGCGATTATTAAGTTTGAAAATTGACGATCATTCTGTACTTTGCAGTACGCTGTTTTACATTTGTTGGCTTTGCGCTATATAGATATGAGAAGACGTCTGCCAAATTATGGAATACACTGAGCAACGGAAAAGGAGGTACATTAAAAACTCTGCTTCGTTTACACAGAGGTTGTAGAAATTCCTGTTTAATGCGCTGATCTTAACCGTATTCGTGATTCTTCCTGGCAATCTCCACTATTAGAAAAAATTGAGGAAGCTGTAGAACTTATGTCAGAGCCCTGAATAGTGATTCTGTCAGTCACTATAAAAGTCGCCTGTTACTTCAGCAAGGGTACGATGCGACTTTTCCGTTTTCAGTATAGCCGGTATAATTTTTGAGCAGTCTTCTGCTGCAGTATTATATATTAACTGTGGTTGTTTTAAATCAGTAATCATTTTTCGTGATTTCGGGGGTTCAGATCTAACAAAATCATCCTCATAATGCTGTCTCAATTTATGCACCACGTTGTCATCCCCCCGGACAGAGAAAGGCATTTGTCTTTCTTTTTCGTGTGCAACGTTATTTAGTTTTTTCGAGTTCCAGAGTCTGTTTTGATTATAATTTAAATCTGCTGCATAATTTTTATTATCTTTTGTTCTGTTGTTACTATTCACAAACAATATCACATGCGCACTTCGTGTAAGCAAGATATCTAGCCGGATATCTTGATCTGCGCTTATCCTCTAAAATTATACCTTCTCCTTTGCCAGGGTCAGCATTGTTTCCAAGAAGAATGCTGAGAAAAATATTGATTAGCAAGAGCGAAATCACACTCCCTGTTGAACTCTGCAGATGGCTTTCCTTCAACTCTGACAACGGACATGGTTCCTGCATACATCTCTTCCAAAATGATGTATTAAGATATTGCGTAGCGTTTCAGTACTTCCCGCATCGTCGTATAATTGATTGAATCAAATGCAGCCTTAAAGTCGAAGTAAAGCAAATGGATTTGTCGACATTGCTGAACAGGCTACAGTCGGTGGCCGGCTGTCCATGAAAAAAGTATGTGAGAATTGGTTAATTTTATGCAAACGAACCGACTGCTGGTGTTGTGTCTGAAAAACTGCTAAACATGTTCCTTGCGGTTAATAACAACAGATGCCTGGTGATATCAGCCGAGACTTTAGTCCTGGGCAAAATTTCTACTTAATGTGTATTGATAGAGCTTTTTTACGTTATTGGTAGCTCTCAAGGTGTCAACGAGTTGTACTCAAGCCGCTGCTTTGATCGAGCATTAGCAAAAGTGCCATGATGCAGAAAATGCGGAATGATTGAGCCGTCAGTGCAGAGCAGGTTTGAAATTTACTCTAAACTATTTCGTTTGAGTAAGAAACTCATCTGAGATTTATTAACCAAAAAATTTATCACCAAATAAGGTCAGTCTGCTGGTTTCGATGACTGCTTATCCCTTCGGGTTGCGCAGGCAAATACGTCGGACGTTGTCTCCAACGTTCCCGTTACTGTGCCAGCATCTTAGCTTCAGTGAACGATAACCCGAGTCCCGAGCAGACCGCATCGATACACCGCGTCCTAGCTCATTTTTGTTCATCTAGGGCCGGTCGGCTAAGCAGGTAGTAGCTGTTTCACCTTCCTCAATAGAAGCATTCCAAGGCCTTTGCTAAGCCTTCGCAGTCTACAGAAGCAGCGGCTCTATGCCAAGGCTCTTTTGATATCGCCGGACCTGTAACAGCGTTGAAGCTTTCGCCTTTTGTAACCTCTGTCAGAGGATCGATGCTCTTCCGATGGCAGGTTTCCATTCAGTGATTCATTGTGAGCCAAGTTAAGTTCTACCAGAACATAAATATCGGCCTAAGGGCAAGTGGTCAAGTCGACACTAATAGAATTGCTTCCACCTGCAGAGGTTCAGAATTTCAGAGCGCTGGCGCCTTTGACCAGAGTCCCACTACATTCATTCACATGGTGTCAACTTGCGGCCAGATCAGCTAGCTCCCACTCTCTCCTGATTAAAGAGATGTTTCAATATCTTACTGTAACCGCCCACTGTCGTTATACTTCTTATGGAACATTTTTGTCGCCTATTGCCCTGACTATCTTCTCCGTTCAGAACGGATAGTGGATCCGCTGCTGACTGGTATCTTCACTGTCTTGTAGATCTGCGACAGCCGTTGCTATGCCTCCAGTTGCCGCAAAACGAGAAGCAAGTTCTGTTCGCGGACCTTCAGAGTGCCTCAGTTTCCAGCAGTCTACGCGGCCATTGGTATCCCTGGCGACGACAGAGTCAGTATAGTATTAGATGTCGGCAGTACCATGAAGTAGTACTGGTTAAGTTTTGCTGCCGGAGACCTCGCAACGGTCCCTGACCCTCATGCAGACTTAGACCGACAGAATTAATGAAATAAAGTAGATTTTGTAGTATACAGATAGCGTTTTCACATTAGGAATTTTATTCTGCTCCTCTTCTTATGACTTAGAGACAGCTTTACAATCGAAACAATTATAGACACCTGGATAGCTTAATTACAACTTGGAAGTGCTACTTCCAACATCGATTGATACGGTGGCGTAAGGGTTGTGGCTCTATGCAAAAGACCAGTTGAATACTAAGTGGTTTCGTTTTAAACCTGCGAATCAGCTGCTTCTCTATTTTCCCAAATGGTGCGCGCTCCTGTCTTCGTAAGCTTTACTACTGGCGAGTTGGAGGTATTACCGGCGGTCTGGGAAAGGTCCGCTGTATCGATTCCTTTCCCGATTGGTGTCTTCAACAATCGGTGCAATCATCTGCACGAACTCTTCATAGTCTATCTGCTCGTCTCCATCTTTGTCCACTTCCTTGATGATTTCATCGACCTCCTCTTCGGTGAATCGTTCCCCCATGGTCGTCATGAAATGCTTGAACTCTTGGGCCGTGATAAAGCCGTTGCCATCCTTGTCGAAAACCCTGAAACATCAGCATAGTTTCGATATTGTTTCTGATTCAGACTCAACGTTATTGCCTGAAAGCCAGTCGGATTAGCTCCTGGTCCGTCTCCTTGTTCATACACTTCATCATCTGGCAAAATTCGGCGAAGTCGATTTTGCCGTTTCCGTCAACGTCGAACTCGTTGATGATGTTCAGGATCTCGTCTTCGGTTGGATTCAATCCTAGCGTGCGCATTGCCACGCCTAGTTCCCGGGTATTTATCGTCCCGTTGCTGTCTTTGTCAAACATCTGAAATTCAATAGTAATCAGCAGCGTAAAAAACGCTAAATAATAATCATAATACATGAATAAAGAAGCATAAAAACAAATACTCAATAAATTTAAAACAGTGATCGCTGACAGCATATAGCCAATAATACAGAGCTTCCTTTTATCGCGATTTCATGCTGAAATATACGTTTATCGCCTACGTTAACCCACGTCGAAGAACATCTCCTGTATAACAGTGCCGGAATAACTTGCCTTCAGTCAATTTTCCCGTTTGTTCATTCCACCATGGCGGTGTCCGGAGTCAGATGCATTGGCAGATTGACTAGATGTGGTTCCCGTCGCTACAACATTAAAGAGGTTATGCCATTCTCTCCCTGTACGGATAGAGCAATCATATGTTGAGGTGTTAAACTAGTTGAATCTGATACTACCCTTCACTCCTACCGCTAATAAAATCAACTTTTTTTAGCCCATTCTTCATCCAAACCCTAAACCCAACTGCACTCGTTCAGTCAGTCAGTTTCGATGAATGCTTCATTCGGCATTTCAGGTTCAGAAAGTGTCCAACGTTCCGGATACTGTACCAGCATCTGAGCTTCGGCATGATGACCTGAGTCTGGTGATTCGTGCCCTTCCTCGGGGC